AAGGAGAGGATATGCTTTTCTTGCTGTAATGGAAAGGATTGAGACCAGATAATAGCTGTCAACCCCTGGAACTAACTCATTGTCTTATTCTGTACTACTGTGAACTGGCTTTGAAAATTTACTAGACTTTTTTACCTGTTTTGACTGTTAGAGATTTTATTAAAAAATGCAGCACTACATGATTAGTACTAGTCCCAGAAATCCCTTCAGTTCTCATGAAGTGTCTTTCCTGAATGGATACATTTGGATACTGTCTTATTGTCTTGCTTCCCTGATGTCCTGCACCCAAAGAACCCCCTTTATTTATCTTGTCACGGTGCATCCATTGTTTGTGTTCTTAGATCTGTTTTCTAGTTTGAGAATGATAAAATACACGTTGCTGTACAGCTGAGAGGAAAGGGCCTTTGTGGATATTTATAGACATTCCTAATGGCCTTTCCAAAGCCATAGGGGAAAAAAAGAACAATGCAGTTTTAGATCTTCAGCTGTGTCAGGTGATGTGGCAGGCGGGCAATGGTGCTCTCTTCCTCAGTTCAGCAGGGGAAGATGTACAGAAACCGATTTTTTTTAAAGCTGTTACACAACTGATATTAGCATTTGAAGGGGAACCAGGGCATGACCTTTAATCCTGTGGGTAGACAATTTGATCTGCTTCCTTGAATACCTCCATTGTAACAATACAGAATGGAATGAATTGCATCAGACTATAGGAAGAAATCTTGTGTCACAACTGCTTGCTTTTTTCAGACTTTCAGCTTAATATGTCCATACCCTGTGTAACCTCACCAGGGCCTAAAATCAGCATTCAGTCTTCCAGATACATGTAATTAAATTAATTAAATCCAGTTAAATTTACACCATGTCCAAATGCTTGTCAAAATTACAGCATTTTCTTTTAATACATTGCCTTCTGAATTTTCCTGTGCTTTTGTGTATGAGCCAATTATTTCAGGATATTGCCTTACACTGAGAAATAAGCTGGCTCTCAGCTTTGAATCTTTCCTAGGAGAAGATGTGTAACACCACAGCTAGTGACAGATCTTAATTTTTATATCTGATTTTCCATAATTTTTCAAGTATTGGGTGACTGTGTAATCCTACGGAAGCTAGTAAGAGAAGCTGATGTTTTGCTCTACTGAAATCTTTTAATCTCCATTTTACACACTGTTTAATCTCTTGAAGTCTAAATGTGGGATAAAGAGTTAAGATGAGGAATACAAGAAAACAGAACAGTTGTCTGCCATAATGTATAAGCAATCATGCACATCTGTGGGACCCTCATGCAGTCCCTTCCAACCCTACTTTCTTCTATGATGCTGGGCATTGTGCTGCAGTAGCATGTGGGTCCTACAGAGTCTTTGGTCAAAACTAGTATAATGCTTTCCAGATTTGGTTATTGCAGCTGTTGCAAAAAAAGGCTCTGGAGAAAGTGGTCACTTTGGAATAGTAACTGAAAAATAACTTTTAAATTGTATGGAGACATTGCTTAGTGCAAGAGCAGAGAAGCTATTCCACGTACATGAATTTGTTCCAAGGAAAAATACATTTTATTGTGGTAAGTTCCCTATGTAACTTATACTCAAGTTTCTCATTAGTGCACAGTACAGGCTTTGGATGTAGTCTGAGCATCCAAACTGTGGTTTCCAGACTGAAAAATTAGCTTGCAGCCCTCTGTACTGTTTCCTATTGTAGGTGCTATTCAGTCAGCGTGCAGACATGGTGAGGCTTTATGCAGACATTCATCGCTCTCCATTGATATGTATATTCCTTATTGCCTATTGGCAGCTCCATTCACCAAGATCACATGTTACTTTGCCAATAGTCAGCGTGGGAAGCTGTTTTGATGTAGCCAGCCCACTTGACAGCATTGCTGTGGCTAGCCCTCCTATGCCTGATGACTCAGTTAAATGCTGTAGTCCTGTGGAAGAAGTCATTATGTTCTTTACTTCATAAAGGCAGATACAAATACTGGATGCTGACAGAACCTATACTTTGTAGGAATTATCATGTGAAAACCTTTTGAGTTGTACAAGTCGCATATAGCTTCTACACTAAAACTAGCAATTCTGAGTGTGTGTTGTTGTTTTAAATGATCTAAGCTGCAGATCCAGTAAATTCTTTGTGCATTGTTATATAGCCACATCAAATGAGGCTTGGTTAGTCCAGTAGTAAAAACCTATCTGGAGGATTAACATGCTATTTATACGACTGACCTGCATATATTTTCATCTAATTTTGAGAGAGTCTACAGTGGCCAGTGAATGTTCACAAAACCTGTTTCCTAATGATGGAATTTGTGCCCAAGTCACTTCTGAGCTAGCTCAGTATAAGATTTAGCAGCATTTTGAAATGTAACAAATTCAGTTGTGCTTCAGAAACCAGCAAAGAAAGAAAAAACGATAGCTTTAGTTGGTACTCATATAAATTGTGAATTTGTGATGGTAGAGTTGGTCTTTAGTTGTTGTGCACTTAGAAGTTTTCTGAATGGTCACCAAAAATCCTAATTTAACTGTCTTAACCTATATCAAGTTTTCAGTATATAGAGAAGAATCAGCGTTTACAAGTTTTCATAGTCCTGTGAATTTTCAGACTTATAAGATACTTTAAATTTGATTAAAAAGTCCGAATATTGATCTTACTTAAGTTGTTATTAGGAGTATGTATAACCTCTAAGAACTGCATTTTTCAACAGGGCCAAATATTTATTGCTAATCCTTGTGTTTTGTCTTATACTTTTTCCTCTTAAAACTGGTTAAATGTTGCTGTGTCTAAGGATTCACTGGCCTCTAGTGGTAAAGGTATGCTACAGTTGCTACAAACCTCTGTATTTTTAACTGTGGACAAATACCAGTTTTATGCATGGGTTGTTAGCAAAAGGAAATTTAATATTAGGAATCACTTGGATCAGAACAAATAAAGTATTTTTAAACAAAAATACAAACAAAAGATAATGCTACAAAAATAGACAACATTTCAGAATTTAGAAGCCATACATGATTCTTTGTTTTTGATTGTGGTAACCAGGGCTATGCATTCTTCTTCAGGAGTGTGCTTTTTATGATTCAGACAGAATTCTTGCCCTATCCCATCCCTCTGATGGGCTTCTTACAAAACTTTGGCAGTATACTTCAGTCCTTACCTATGCTCACTACTACTCCAGTTAGCAATAGTGCTGTCAATGCACTACACGTTGTGTGGTACCTCCTGCTACTTCAGGCTTGGCTGCTCATGGATGGAGAGTGCTGTACGTGGGGTACAGCACTCTCCATCATGTGATATTCATGAAAAAGATAGTTTTGGAGATGATGGTAGGTTAGTTAAGATAATGAACATAATTTGCCTAATCCTGGAGAAGGCTTCTTAGTGATGCAGTGTTCAAGTGGTAGTTTATAAAGCAAGGTAAAAAAAAGTAAATGCGCTCTGTCGACTAGACCCCTTCACCCAACTACCCTGAGTGTATGACGGGTCTGAATCCCATTCCTGAGTCAGCAACTAATTAACATTATGACTTTAGGCAAGGGGCAGGCAAAAAATGGCCTGTGGGCCGAATCCAGCCCACCAGCCCATTCTGTCCAGCCCACAGGGCCCCTAAAAATTAATATTTATCTGCTCCTGACTGCCTGTCAAAGATGACAGGAGCCAGGGGCAGTAGGACCCAGGGAAAGCCAGCAGGACTCAGCAGCCCAGAAGCAAGCCCCATCCTTATCCCCCTCTCACTCCAGCCCCCCCCAGCTCCTGCTGCCCTGCTCTGAGCCATGCCGGCACTGGCCCCAGACACTGGCACAGGCCCCATGCTCCCACCCAGCTATCACTGCACTCCCACACACCCGCTTACTCCCACTCTCCCCTGCCTGTAGCTGCAATTTCCCTGCATTCCTGCCAGCCGCTGGCTGTCCCAGCACCACGTAGCTTCCAGCTGCATGGCCAGACCATGGGAGCATAGGGCCCATGCTGGTACCCTGGGGCCAGAAGTGGGAGGATGGGTGCGTTTCCATAGGACAAGTCACACATGCACACCCCGCCATACACAGTCATCCTCCCTCCCTTGCACTGCTATACACACAGATCCCCACACCCCCTCAAACACACCAGCCACCCTCCCCCCCACACACAGCCTCCCACATATCCATCCACACACATTCACATGCTCCCTTACCCCACAAACCCACCCCATACACCCACACCCTCCCCCATGCCCCACATTCCCACACTTGCAGCCCCCCACAAACTTATACCCACCCCCTACAGTATACAATAGTAAGTCTTCATTTTAAGCTATTGTTCAATTACCTCTGTGTACTGTACACAAACACATGTTGATCAGGACAAAAATATTTTTTTTAAATCACAATAATGAGTGTTGTAGATGTTTGCTTTTTAGAATATAATTTGGTATTTTTCTGGTTCCAACATGGCAAAACCCTTTGCTGAAAGGAGTATTTCTAGGGGAAAGGGGAGGGACTTCTGGTAGGAAAGGTCAGGGGTTAGGGGGCAGGACTTCCAGTCACAAGATGGCGACTAGGGGGCAGGGCACCTGTCAAGGGGTGGGGCTACCCATGCAGCCCTCCACAGCTTGCCAAAACTCAGTAAGTGGCCCTCGGCCCGAAATAATTACCGGCCCCTGCTTTAGGTGAATTAACCATCATCTTTATCTCTCTTTAAAATAGGGTTGAGTCTGAACTCCCACTGAGGGGGTCTCCTCCTGAAAAGAAGGAACTACCAAGTAGCCATTCGTGCTGAGGGGCTCTTCACTTCTATACGTCTGATTGTGATTGTGATTTGTGTAAAGTTCTGCACAGATGCCTCATAGAATTAATCTTTAGTTAAATACCCTGAAACCTGCACTCTTTAAAAATAAGTTGCAAATTTACAGTGCCTCTCAATACAGAGATTCAACAACACATGGGTGGTTAACAGCACACTCTAATGACTATTTATATTCTTTTCCAGATGTGAAAGGGCCAGCTACTCACAGACTCTCCTGTGGCCAGTCTCCCTGTGCTGAAAGTACAACATGGGAGAGAAAGTACTGCATACTGACAGACAGACAGCTGGTGCTGCTCAACAAGGAAAAGGAGGTGAGACACACTACTAATCACCAGGGGATTTCCCTTTCCAAAAGTATCTGTGAAACAGCCAAACAGGTTTTTATTCCCCCTCTGACTCAAGGGTCATGGCGTTGGCTGAGAGGGGAAAGCCAAACTAGTCTTAGGGTATGTCTATGCAAGGAAGGGTGATGGGAACATGGATAGGCATACCTGCACGCTAGCTTTAATCTAGCTTGATCAGGTCCCAGTAATAGACAAGAAGCAACAGCACAAGTTTCAGCATGGGCTAGCAACCTAGGTATGTGCCCAGGGTTTCCTGTGGGATTCCCCAGTTTGTGCTGCTGCATTTGAAGTGGTGTGCTAACTGAAGTAAAACTAGCGTGGGTAGGCCTGATTGCATCCCATTTGCACCACCTGCTTTCAGTGTAGACTGAATTATGGTGGCAGTATGGAAATAGAGGTTTTTGTGTGGGCTAGCATACTGGAAAGAGAAGAAGCTATCTGCAAACTTCATATTGTGTAATTATCTTTGCTGTTGTCAGACAAGATACAGTAACTAAAACAGGTGTGCCCTTTGCTCACTAAATTGGCAAACAAGAATAAGTATCATTCACAAACCAGTGCTCAAAGCTATTGTAGCTTTTATTATTTGTGTGTGTGGCATATGCAGTGTTGTGAAGTTTATATTGCCATGACTTAGATGTGGCTCTACTAGTCATGAGTTGGTTCTCACTGTCATTCCCAAAAATATTCTGAGAAATCTTTACTCAGCACAATGCTGCCATGTTATATTATCCCTAGATGTAAAATGCTACAGAGGAACTGTTTCACAGACATTAGGTTTAAAGGTATTGATCCTGTTTTTATATGCTTCTGCCTGGAAAGTTGGTCTCCTGCATAATGTGAATCCAGTCATACAGAAGTCATAGTAGCCTCCAAGATGACTTAAAATAGATTTTTTAAATGCAAATTATCTATGACTTACATCTATCTTGGGGATTTCATAGGTCTAGAGGTGAACTAGGAATTTCCATTTTTTACCAATTTTAGGCTTCTATATCTGGCTCTGTACAGTCTCAAATTATTGGATCTAAAACCTGTCTCTGGTAAAGCAATGAATTATTGTCCATTTTGAGCCTGAGTAGATGAAATATTAGGAGACAGAGTTATTTACTTTTGGGGAAAACAGTTGTAAAGTTCCCAGGGCAGGCTTTTATTTTTATAAAATGAAGCTTTTCCATCATTTAAAATATGTACTAGTGAACATGTGAGGTGGGCCAAGGTAGCTGAGTGCTTTTTAACATACTTGGGGCTACAGTTCAGTTTGACGCATGGTTTTCACTTTGCCAGTTATATACTTGGCATAAGGGACATACCTGTATAAAATAAGTGTCATTTGAAAAAACACTGGGTTAAATAATTATCTAAAGAGCATATTTAAACAGTAATCACAAAATAATTGAGTGTTAATTTTAGTTACTATATTTAGTTAAAGATTTTGCAAGGATACGAGCGTAATAAATCTCTTGGCCAGAAATGAGATGTGGGAGTGTTATATTAGTCCACTAGTGTATTAAATTGGACTAGTGTATTAAATCATTATGTGTGATACCTTAAATGTTCTCATGTTTTGTGTATTGTCTGGCAAAAATTGAAGAGATTCGGTGGGGGGCTGAGAGGAGTAAATGGAACAGAGGTATTATGTGCACCAATTACAACAAAACAGCTTGAGCAGAAGAGTAAATCTTTGCAACAGGCACTCAGAGGAGCTTGCCAGCAGTATTACTTTGAGAAATTACTCATCATTGTAGCAAACTGCTTTATGCAAATTGAGCCAAGGAGACACTGTTTCTGGTACAGGTGTGACTGCACACACTAAATAGCTGATTTGTTTGAGAAGCTATCATCTGAAGTCTATTTGCAATTCTGATTTTTAAATAAATGTAACTACTCAAAATGGAAAGAAAAGTGAAAGTCATAGAATCATGAATGCACAAAAAGGCTGTATTAGTCTAGTGTCTGAATCTGCACATGGGAGTGTATATCTCCTCAGTGACAGAAGGACTAGTAACTTTATCATAATTTCTCTTGTGCAACACAACAAGGCTTGATGCAACACAACATGAGCACAGTGTGGACTAGAATCTATTCCAAAAAGTATTCAGTGTTTATCTACTGTAGTTTTTGGAGAAGGAAAAGGAGAGACTATTTAGTGAATTTAAATTGGCTGTTAATTCTGAGGTAGATGTTACATAAATAAAAGATCTACAGAATGGTGTGAGCTAAGACTAAAAAGGAGCAGTTGGGAAATAAACTTGGGTGGAGCATGCAGATTAAGAAGCATGTAGGAGGCAATAGGGATAAGATTATAGGTAGGACCAAATTGTGTAGAGTCATGAAAAAATAGGTGAGTACCTTGGGCTTCATGAAAAAAAAAAAAAAAACAACCCTGGTGAAGGCAGCAAACTAGTGGGAAAGCATGGTTAAAACAGCAAGATGGTTCTGGAGGAAGGCAGGTGCAGGCAAGCAGTGGGAAGATGCAGATGAAGTTTCAGTGGGGAGAATGGTAGTCTGACTCAGGAAAGTGATCTGAGTTTCTCTAAAATGAACATAAGGAAGGCGATAGATCTTGAAGACATGAAGAATGGAATGGTATAGCATATTGAGAGGCTACCTGTGAGGAAGAATAAATAGACTTTATCACAAGATGGCATCAGAGGAGGAAACTTGCACGAGCTATAGTCTAATGTAATCCTTTTATAATTTAAAGGTTTCTAATGTTTTCTTTCATTTGCATGAATTTTGATTCTGTTTGGTAACTGATTTTGTTCTGGGTTCAGTTGGAAGGAATCAACCCTGTAGTGTTTCTTGAATCTATAATTTTTATGCAAGGAAATTGTCACTGTGTTTACCATAGTCAGAAGAGGTGTACAAAATGCAAATAGGCAGGTAAATGAGTCTTAACCGTTTAACCTGTGACATTGAACTAACCCTATGTTCCATTTCAACCAAAAGGCAGTGTTGTGAATGAAATATTCAGACCGATTTCACGAATGCTTGGGGAAAATTACTAGAACCAGAGAATAAGGCATTGGGAAAAATGCTTAAATTTTTTTACCTAAACACAATAGCAATACGTTTATTGTAAAGCCATAATGGACAGAGATTTGAAAGAATTCACTGTGTGCAAATATACCAATGGGTATAGAATTCAAGAGAAATTTCTATTTGGTCTGGTCCAAACATTTATAATTAATTAGGTAAAATTACTTTCTGACAGCATTGCTTTTTTGGAAAGTAAATTTAGGATGATCACATATCACATTGTCAAATTACCTTCCTTGTTAGCTTTCATTTTATAAGAATAAGAGCATTACCAAAGAAAAGAAAATGTCAAGACTTAAAAAGCAAGTATCTTTACTTTCAAAATGAGGATTATTCCACGAGGACATAGTCTAGATCTGTTTTGGCGAAGATGTTGATTTTTCCATCATCTCAGCTAAACTTCCATAAGGTTAGAGCTGAAAGAACACATTTTTACAATAGTATTCGATAGGGTGTCCTCCCACTTTTTCTTTGGCCTTTAAATAAAGTAATAATGTTATAGCTAAGTGCTTCTGCAGACTAGCTGCAAGTAGATGTGTTCTGATGAGGAAGGACACACAGGAGATTTGCTTTTTGTAACTTGGCTACTGACCAATCTGTTGTCATGTTATGTTGCACAGGGTTCTAAGTTATGAACAGAGACCCTGGTTTTCTCTGTTTAAAGATCATATATCCCCTGATAAACCCCAAAAATCCACATTTTTCTATGATTAAAATGTAACACCACTATACATGTATAGATAGTTGAACAAAATGCTTTATTGATATATTTACAATTTTAAAGCAATTTGGAAGCCTACCAATGCCTCAATCACTATAATGAAACAAATTCTAAATACCTGTAAATTTTAGCATTTGATTTTGGGTGTTTTACCATGGAAAATTAGAGCTCTCCCTGCACCTTCACTCATCAAGACACAGGTCCAGCCATGGCTGTTCTTTCCCCTGTTCCCCCTCACGCCCCCCGGGTTGTGGTGCTGAGCAGTCCTGATATGCTGGTGCTCCTCACTCCTCAAGTGCAGCCCTCTGGCCCTGCTGGTGCACCTTGCTCCCCAGTAACACCCCCTGCCCCCCAGCTGCCAGGGCTACAGGGCCAAGGACCCGAGCCCTAGCTGCTGCCCATGGGAGGTGGCGGCTGCTGTGGCAGAGTGGAATGTAGAGCCCAGCTCCCCCCCCCACAGGCAGCTTGGCCAGAGTGGGGCCTGTAGGCTTGGGCTCCCTGCCAAGCTGCTCTCCTCTCTGCAAGGGCAGGTGGTGCAGCAGTGGCACTGAGCTTCACTGCCCAGCCCCACTCTGACCTGCTGCATGGGGTCCTGCATGCTGGACTGAGGAAGGCAGCAGGGTAGGGAGCCTGAGCCTGCAGCTGCCCCCACCCTGCACACACATCTGGGAGGCACATGCCCCCCATTCTCTCCTTGGAAGTACACACAGCAGTGGAGAGCCAGCCCCCCCCCCCCCGGGGAGCCGCCCCCCGCCCCCCCCCCCCAGGTGAGCTGCCCACGGCCCCATCCCGCCCCTTGTCTGGGCCCTACAGCTGCACATTCTGACCCCGGACCCAAGCCCCACACACCACCCAGGCTAGGCAGCAGCCGCAGCCCCGCCCAACTCCCTCCCTT